TGCACCGCGATACTCTGCAGGGAGGGGACAGCGTGAGCAGGCAACCACAGCCACCCTGAACCCCAGCCCCATGGGGCCCTGCTCACCGTAGGGAAGCAGCGCACAGGGCGGGCAGGCGGCGGGCTGGCAGGGGAGATGGGCCAAGTCTGGGGAGTCCAGGAAGCCAGAGGAGCTCAGGTAGCCATCCGTCTCGCAGTCAGCTGTGGAGAAACACTCGCATGAGCATGGCTGGAGCCAGAGCCCCCTCCCCAGCTTGCACTCCTGGGAAACAACTTTGGGGCTGGGTGCACAGCAGGGCTGGAGGTGGGGGGGGAACCCATCCCGCCTGGCTCCCCCCCCCAAAATGTCCCCTTGCCCAGCGCCTACGCACAGGTGGCCGAGGAGTAGCTGGTGTGCCGGTAGGCGAAGTGCTGGTCAGCCTCTGGCTCCTCAGGCTCCGGGGGGAAGCTGCTGCTGAAAACGGAGTCACCAGAGCCAGGGGTGGCTGGGGTGGGGGCACTGGGCGGCAGCGGGGACTTGAGCTCCTCCAGCAGCCGCAGGACCCCCGTTGGCTGCTCCGGCTCCGCAGGCGATGGCATGTCCTGGGCACGCTTCAGCTTCTCCCGCTTGCGCTTGATGGCTACCACACGGTCCCGCACTGCCTTGGCCACCAGCTTGTAGTCGGCCTCACAGACGAAGCCCAGGACCACCTGTGTGGGAGTGGGCTCGTCACTTTGGGGTGCAGGGACCCAGCAGTGCCCAGGGTCCCTCTGTCCCTGAACCCACCATCTCCTGGGCCACCTCCTCCGCCACATCCTTGTAGAGCTCGAAGAGGAACTCGATGGCGTTGTTGTCCTTGTACTTGCCATGCAGCTTCTTCGTGTCATCCATGCGCAGCCAGAGTTTGAGCCCAGACTTGACACCATCGTCCTCCTCGGCCAGTTCCACGTGCACCCCCGTGTCCTCCTGGAAGAAGGAGTGCTCCAGCAGGTCCTGGATGGTGTACCTGCAGGGAGCACAGCTCAGCACAGGGCTGGGAGCCAGGGGCAGCTCTGCCACCCAGGCCCCCACTCCCCCCCACCTCTCGTTCTTGTCCATGCGGATGCAGCCCTCGATGATCTCCTTCAGCTCCGGGACCTTCACCTTGTAGAAGCTGCTGGGCTTCAGGCCCTGGGGGCGATGGGTGTCAGCACCTCCTGTGCCAGACCCTGCCCACAGCGCCAGGTTTCCAGGGCATGGGGCTGAACCCAGGCTCTGTGGGGCCACAGGATGCTCCCCGGGCAGCCGCGGCCCCACAGACCCTGGCACTCCCAGGCATGGCCCCACCAGCAGCAGGGGATAATACGTGGGGCCAGGGCTCCCAGCCCGGCCACAGCTCCCACAGCCAGGCCACACATGCCTGCACAGGCAGCCAGGGCCAGGACACCCCTGCGCTCCGGGTTTCCACCCCAGCTGGCAGGAGCTGGCAGGAGCCGGCTGGGGCAGCCGTGGTGCCCCAGGCAGGGGGTGGTGGGGCCAACCTGCTCCCGTTCCACCCCATTAACGCACTGGAGGCGCCTGGCGAGGGGCGAGGGATGCAGGGTCTGGCCAAGTCATGGTTACCCCGCCCTCCGCAGGCCCCATGCTCCGGCATGGCACCCTCTTACCACCCAGACTATTTTTAGCTGCTTGCACAACCTGCACAGTGACACATTTTAGGGAGCAGTGAGGCCCAGCAGCTCCATCCGACTGGTCCCCCAGCCCCTCACCCTGGCTTCCATGCCCACAGCACCAGACAGCAGCATCGCCCCCAGCCCAGGGGCCGGGGCCGCTCACCGAGGTGACCTTGCGGTAGATCTGGGCAGCGTTCTGGCACTCGGAGTAGGGGTATTCTGAGGTGGCCATCTCCAGCATGCACATCCCAAAGGCATAGACATCCACTGCCTCGTCATACTTCTCCTCATACATCTCTGGTGCCATGAACTCGGGGGTGCCTGGGTGCAACGCAGGACTCAGCACCCTCTGGGCGCTGAACCACCCGCAGCCACCGGCGGGGGAGGCCAGCCGCAAGCCCGTTCCCACCGGGGCTGCGCGGGGACCCCACCTATGACACTCTTGGCGAAGGAAGCTCGCTTGAGTGTGGCCAGGCCCAGGTCCCCGATCTTGACCGAGCCGGTGGGGCCCGTGATGAAGATGTTGTCGCACTTGAGATCGCGGTGGATGATGGGGGGCGAGCGGGTGTGTAGGAAATGCAGCCCCTTGAGGATCTGCCGGCTCCAGCGCTGCAGCACCTTCAGCTTCATCTCCTTGAACCGCTTCAGATAGCTGCCAGGGGACCGATGGGGCTCGGACCCACAGGGCTCAGCCCCACACCCTGGTCCTGGACCCAGCCCACCCTTCTCCCACTGCTGCACCAAGCCCATCCGGACGTGGGTGCCCACGCAGGGCGAGCAGTAAAGACTGTCTTGGAGTCAAGGGCTCCGGGTCCCCTCCCTGGCCTGGCTCTGCAGAGGCAGCACAGAAAACGCAGCCCAGGAGGAGCCGAGCTCCCTGAGCCACCGCTGCCAGGAGCCAGCCGGGGTGAGCGGCCAGTGCTGTTGCCCTGCTCGGCACCGGGGTGCCCGGGCCACACCGTCCCCATGCAGGATGGTACCAGTGAAGCTCCTGTGTCTCCAAACATCCAGCAGCTATTTCTGTCTCCAGCTCCCAGCCCTACCCCATCATCCTCTCAGATCCCTCCTGAACCCACCACAGCCTGTCACCCCACAAGAACACCCACATCAAGTGCCCAGGCTAGGGGGTGCAGACCTGTTCCTCACCCCCGGGTCACCGCAGGGACCCCATCCCCTCCCCTGTGCACCCCAACCTGGTGGTCCCTGCTCACGTTTTCAGGGTGCCGGACGTCATGAGCTCCGTGACCAGCACAATGCAGATCTGGCCTTTGACGGACGACTTCCAGGAGTCATAGAAGCGAACGATGTTGGGGTGCTGCAGCCCCTTCAGCATCTCCACCTCCTCGCTGAACCTCTGCCTCTCTGTCTTCGACAGCTGCCGCATGTGTGGGAGCCAGTGGGGAGGCGAGGGGGGCACACAGGGTGCCCAGCGAGCACAGGGGGATGCCCTGGCTTACAAGAAACCCTCACCCCCGCACCCCCACTCCCTATGTACGCAGCAGCAGAGCCGAGGTCAGACCGGCTGTGCCCAGCACAGGGGCTCACGCGGGGCTGGGGCAGTCCCAGGCCATGGTGTCACCCCACCCTGCACCCCGGCCCTCCGCAGCACTGCTCTGGAT